GGGGGAGATATAAAAGTATGCAGTGCAAATTTCACAGAAGGAATTATAAATGACATGCCAAAATCCGTGCTGTTCAAATTAACTGTAAGAGAAAAATAATAATCTACAATGAAGAGGCATCTAATTTTAAATAAATTGAATAATTAAGAGGGCAATGAACTTTATCCTTATAATAAACATTAAATTCAGACATAACCACTGTGAAGCCTCAATTTTACACCTCTGTAGGGACCACCTGAAATAAACATAACTGAGCCTAGTGTAAAATTTTGGAAATGAGAATGATGTAAGATAAAATTGTGGGTTCGTTTTACACCATGACTTCAGCAAGCCTTTTAAAATGTAAGTTTGAACACAATGTAAATGCAAATATACTAACTACATACCATATAATTTCTTTAACCACTCAGAATGATATTTCTTTTTCTCTTGAGATCACAGTTTGTATACCTCTCTTGTGTGGTTCAAAATCTTTCATATGTAAAGAAGTGCCGATGTTATTAGAATAAACCTCGTATATGAGAGGAACTGTTTCACTGAATTTTCCAAAACAGAAAGTTACACAAACGTACAATCAGGTACATTTCAATCATTAGACCTCAAAAATAAGTCAGAGTAAATGTAAAATTACATAAATCTAACATTGTACTTATGGTTACTTGGTTAGGACNACTTGGGGGGGGTTGGGGGGGGGGGGTGTAAAAACAGGAACATGAAATACAAAAGCCCAAAACTGAAGTTTCAATGCATTAACACTCTGAGCCCAGCAGGTATTTAAATGTGTATCAGAGGTTTGTGGGGCCACACGTACTTTTGACAGCATACAAACAGTATTACCATTTTCGTTTTCTTATGTGTAAATGCAGCTTTTCACACATGGCCCTACAGAACATACTGAAAGTTGTACCGGGAGAAGACAAACAGTAGCAGGACACAAAGAAGATGCTGCAAGAACAGCCTCCAAAGACAAAGGAACGTGAGTGCACCGTTAGGCTATTCGGGACGAACAGCCTTAAGGAGGGAGCAGTGTGACGTGTTGCATTATGGATGATGCCCCTCCCTCCCTGCCAGCTGTGATGTGCCGAGCTGAGCCGAAGTGAGCCGAGTCCCAGCACGCTGGTCGCTATGCAAAGCGAGTAAACACCGGTTGCTAAGCAAAGTGGGTAAACAGTGGTTGCTAGAGAAGACGGTAATAACAGCGGTACCCATTACGTAACAGGCAAACACGGCGTCAGACAACAGTGGTGCCTATTATGTAACTGTTTTCCGGTTGTCTGGCTGAGGGTTTATAAGGGAACTACACAGCCACCGAAGACAGTTCTCAAGGCAGCAGTCTACGAGTAGAGTTGGAATCTATCCAGCGCAGAGCTACGAGTTGAATTGAACTGTAGTAGTCACCGAGTTTAGTTGTAACAAGTGAATCGCGATAGAGTAAATTGATTTGTGTGTAGGGTTTGTAAACTGTGGAAACCCGTAACATTGTTGTAAGTAATTGTAGCCAAGACTTGTAGGTTGTTAAATAAACCAATTAACAATCTGAACAGCATCTTCGGTAACTAAACACGTTACAATACATTGGTTTCAGTAATATTTTAAACACTTCACTAATGGCTCCAAGTTTTGCACTGTAGTTCATCTCAAAACAGTACTCCCAACAGTTTGTCTTGGTGTGAAATATCTAAAAGCAATCCACAAAACACAGTATACCACACTTCTGGCAGTACATAACAGTGAGTTCCATACCTGCCTTTTCAGTTCACACATCTTACATGCATATTAGGCCCTGTCTTTTTCTTTTTAATTTGTTGCAGGAATTCTATGCCCAATAGTCTGTCTGCAGAATGTGCTGGCTGTTGTTTTATGATTTCTTTTACTACATCACTCAATAGGCTTTCTGCCATCTTCTTCACCAGCTGTTTCAGCTGTGGGTTATGTCTGAATGTCCTGTGATGTAAATGGGGCTGTCTGCTATGGCCATGTCAAAAAAGTATAAAAAGATACAATTTCTTACACCACTTGACTAGTTTCCTTTCAAATGAATGCCATGACAACATCTGGCCAGATACCATTCTTATTACAGTCCACCACAACACATGGCTTTTGCTTTTTATGCACTCCATTTAAATCTGGTAAGAAAATCATGATATCATTGCAGTATTTAGCATGTAAACATCATACACATCTCACCATTTTATAGCCCAGAAAATACTACAATTTCTGACTTTTGGGCACAATCGATAGCACTAGTCCCTATCTCCAACAAAACAAATAAATAAAAAACAGGATGATGGATAATGTCCAAAAACTCAATAATTGTACCATAATATACAATCATAATGAACTTTAGATCTTATTTATGTAACCAGAAGAATACTGTTTAGACATTTTTTTCCTATTTGGTGTAACATTTCCAACTGATTTGATCATGGATGCTCACAAATGGTACAAAAAAAATCAGGGGGAACCATCTAAGTGCACCATGTATCCCTTATTCCACATTGGCTCACATGTAACTCAAATACCTATACACCATACCTGTGGGGCTTCCCTCTAAGAAAAATTCAAAAGTATATTCAAATCAAAAATACATACAGTTTGTCAACTGTGAGTGAATCATTCACTGTCTATACTTCTCCAAATTTCAAGTTCAGGTGGTCAAAAAACTGTTTATTTTATACACTGGTTCATGCCCCAGTTGTCCTCTGTTCACTTACATGTCACAGATGTTCAATTGAGGTACTGTATAGAGTCACAAATCGGCAAATAAGCAACTATACAATGGATGTTACTATGCAGCAGCCCATAAACAGAAACAGAGGAACAGTGTTTTCTGTGCAGAGACGTTACAAGCAGGACAAGTTAGGAGTGAGTGAGTGAGTTAGAGGGCTGCTGCAGTTCAGTCCTTGTGAGCTGATGCTGTGAGAAGCTGGTAGCTGATGCTGGAGAAAGTTGAGGTACCCAGAAGAAATGGAAGCCACTACCAAACAAAAGTAGTGAAGACTAACAGACTGAGAAGACCTTGTGTGTCCTACAGTGATTTGTGAAGTGTGGAGAACAGTGAAAGCATAATCCTTACTTGTAGTTACAAGTTGAAAGAGTTCAATAAATCCAATTACTAAACCAAACTCTGTCTACATTCACTAAATCACATGACTATATATATATATTAACTGAACTTGTTTACCATATGCTTGAAAGTTGTGTTGAAACAGAAAACTAAATTAAAGAACAAAACAAACTTCACTTCAACATAGCCAGAACTAAAGCATGATTTTTTTTTTATTTTCTGCATTTGCTTGCTGAAACAACTGAAAAACATGTGTCCATGTACAATGATCTATTACAATTGAGAATAAAATACTCTGATTGTGTGATCAGTACAATTTTAATTAAACATACATTTCTGTACGAGCACCTACAAATTCAGGTAGGAGGAAAAAAAAACACAAAAAGAAACAAACTCTGTGGTTAGAGTCCATAAGTGAACTACACCAAACGTGTGACCGCCACTTGTCGCCAAAGTTAGTGCCAACATTAGCAGATAGAGGTTGTCACGTGGTCAGCACAACGAACCTCCCCAGTCATTAATTTCAGAAAATCTGGTAGCACTGGGAATCAAACCTGGACCTCTGACCACTAGATCACAGAGGCGGTCCTCAAGTAGGGGGAAGCTTCACTTAATTATTTTCAAGAACAGAATACTTCGGTGACAAGGGTTGGGTATACAAGTTACAAAAGGGACACAAAGCATCTCTTTTAATTATTTCAAGAAAAGTGCACTAGTCTTCCTGTGAATTGTTCATTATATCAAGTGTCAATGAAAATTCAATCTTATTAGAACTCCCCCATATCAAATTTCATGAAAACAGATTCTTGTTTCTTGCACACAGACATGTGGAGAGATGGCGTGAAGAAATTATGCTACACCTTTCACCATTTTCACAGAATAATATGCAGGATGTACATAAGCTTATGTTGTTTGCCTCAAACAAATAAACTCACATTTTTAGAAGCTTCTGAATCATCTTCAGGAGATGGAGGAGGTGTTGCCATCATATCCTCAACTTCAGACTCATCTGCTGTACTCAACTTCTTCTTCTTCTTTGAACTTGAAAATGCACCCCTGAAATAATATGTTTGTAAAATTAACAATATGGCAGCCTTATTTATAATGAAAACCTACTATTTGTAAAATGAGAATTCCTTTGTAGCACACATACCTTGTTTTCTATAATAATCCCTGAAAAAAAGACATGTGATACACTACCAAACAAAATAGAACGTGACAATGCCTTTACAGCTGCTTACTTTGAATTCTTCTTTCCTGCAAAGATGGCTTTCACTTTGGGCTTTCTATCCTTCTTCGGTTTCTTAGGCGTGAGAGTGCCTTTAACAGATGACTCAGACAAACTCTTGTTTGGACTTGCTGGATCTTCTGACTCTTTAATAAGTACAGGTGTTTCAGGATCTCCCTCTATGGACTTGTCAGCTACCTCTGCTATGGATAGACGATCAATGGCAGTTGTGGCAGTGTTGGTGTTAACGGTAGTGGCAGTTATAGAAGTGGTCAGGCTGCTGGCAGCAGAGGTGGTTAAAGATGTAAGACTCCCATCCAGAGACTCAATAATTGTAATAGTAGGTGAACCTGTGCTGCGTGCTTCTGCTACCATCAGCTGTTCATTGCTTTGTTCCAATGCCAACGGATCTATCAACTCCTGTATGACTTCACCTTCTTTCTTCTTCTTTGTATTTCTCCTGAAAAATAGAGGAAATATCCTCATTCATCTATATGACAAATAACAAGAAGAAGAAGGGCAATACCAGTAATAACACAACTTCTTCTTGGATTACATAATTTTTCAGTGGCATATATTAGGTAGCCCTCAATATCATTATGAACAATGAACTGAAAAGGATATGGCACGTAACAGCTGTTGCCAACTTAAAGCATCACAGGAGACTTTTGTAAGGGGCTGAAAAAAACAACACAAAAACTCAAAGAAGACTGTCATTCTCCAATTCAGAGCAGGACCTTGAAAAACACTTGATCATGACATGTACAATGTAAAGTTATCCCTAACAGGCAGTAGAGGCCTACAGGGTTGTTGAGACATTGAGGCTTCCACATTTTCTAGACCACTGGCTCACAGATGGCAGTGAGATTGTCAGCCTTACGCGCCGGCTGCCCTTTACTCCCAGGAAATTTCCTGGTACTCATTTCTCTTAAGAGGCTGAGTCAACCCCAGGGCCAGAGTGTGGCTGGAAGGATTAGGTAAACTGAAAAATCCAATTACCTCATCAAGATTTGAACCCGCAACCTTCCAGCTTGTAGCATAATGCCTCAACCAACTACACTACCGCATTCCCCCATGACATTCACACACATCAATGATACACTCAAGCTGGCATCATAGAAAAGAACATTAGGTTCCAAAAGGAATCTAAGGTCTGGTAACTTCATAAAGCAGGATCCTCCATCAGAAGATAAATAGCCCCTCACCTGGTCTTGATATTCTCACTTGTTATGGAATCTTGACATTTTATTCCTGCGTTCACAAACAGCCAGCCACTGGATCATGTCCTGAGATCAATCTACAACTTCACACCCTATCTTTCTAAGATTCATTTTGTTTTAATATTAACCCCATGCGTGGCTTCTTCCTTTCAGGGAATTTTGTTTGTATATCTCACCTCCCCCCATGTGTGCTGTATGTCTTACAAACCTCATCATCAAGCAAGTTAGTTCCAAGGCAATGCTTCTGAGCTGTACAGAATGATTCACTCAGAGAAGCACCATATTAATAATCATAAATCCCGCAATATTTTGCCACTGAAAACGAAACCTAGCAAGTGCACATCTTGGTAGATGTGGAGATAAATGGGTTACTAAAGAAGCTGAAGCTGGTTTCCCTCCACCTGGAGACAAAGGCCATAACAGTAATCCATGCCCTCAAATGTTGCAACCAACATGGCAGGAGGGATCATGTGGGACCATACTAAAGGATGTAGCACAAACCAGGCAGAAATGCAACAAGTAGTACTGTAAAGTATATATTACTGCCAAGTCCTATTTTCATAAATAAATTATCACAAAATTTATAATTATTATAATGGGGTCACCTTTTAATAAAACATTTTGCATTACAATATGCCTGCTTCATAATGTGGCCAGGATACAGACAACCCTCACATAAATACAAGGTGGTTCAAATATGACCAGGACTGATTTGTGTCTAAACAAGCCTCATTGCGCAGCAGCTGTACGACCTTGAGAGAGTGAAGCCACAACCTCCACCCTCCCTCCTGTTCAGGTTAGAACCTGTTCAGTCCTGTCTGGGAGTTGCTAGAGTTATGAGCGAACAGAAGGTACCACAGAGCATGGAAAAACGCGTTGTGATCAAATTCCTCAGAGAAAGCGTCCCATCCGCTGAAATTCACCACAAACTCCAGCAACAGTGTGGGGAAGAGTGTCTCTCACAGACCTGTGTGTTTAAGTGGTGTAAGTGCTTCAGAGAGGGCAGAGAGCATGCGGAGAATCAACCGCATGATCGTCGGCCGCGAACATCCGTCACCAAGCCAAACACTGATTGTGCAGACACGCTTATTTGTGAGAATAGGCGCATCACTATCAAGGCACTTGGAGCAATGCTGTCCATCAGTGTTGGTAGTGTAGAAGACATCGTGAAATACCACCTGCACTATCGCAAGGTGAATGCATGGTGGGTACCACGCACTTTGATGGACGTGAACAAAATGGTGCGCATGCAAGCTGCCATTCGTCTCCTACAGCGGTTTGAAGACAAAAGTGATGCATTTTTGAAGTCTGTAGTGACCACCGATGAAATGTGGGTGCACTACTTCATTACCAAGTCCCAGCAGTCATCATGCAAGTCGTGGCATACCAGTTCTCCCAAACCCAAGAGTGTGCTGAAGAGCTGTTCAGCAGGAAAAGTGATGGCAACGTTCTTCTGGGACTGGCAAGGGGTTATCCATGTAGACTTTCTGACAGATGCTAGAACAGTCAGTCCAGTTTATTACTAGACTTCCTGGCAACAGGTGTGAAGGAAAAAATCCGATCCAATTGGAAGACAGGTGGAAAGCGGGTAGCCTTCCTTCAAGACAATGCACGCCCCCATACGGCCAAACCAACAATGGAAACCCCCCGGAAATTGAAATGGAACCTTCTGGCACATCCGCCGTACAGTCCCGATTTGGCCCCAAGTGATTTCTACCTGTTCGGAAGGCTCAAATCAGACTTGCATGGCATGTGGTTTGTGGACGCCACAATCATCCAGACTGTTCAGGAGTGGATACACCTCAAAATACAAGCCTTTTTTTAAAAGGGCATCAGCATGCTTCCAGAACATTGGAAAAAATGTGTTGACTCTGGAGGGGAGTGCGTTGAAGACTGACATGTGCAAGTAAGTGTTTGGCAATTATGGTTATTAAAAAATAAATCAGTCCTTGTCATATCTGAACCACCTTGTATTACAAACTTTTCCTTCATTCCTCCATGTGGGTGCCAGAATAGTAACCTCAAACAGGCTGCCATCAGTTCCTCAAAAATTTTTTGAGGATCACTAAATATAATCATCCTCACACACTACTCAATACTAAATAAATAAATGCTGAAACTGACATAGTACCATTAGATAGCCAACAATATATACCTCACATATCTCCTTTGATCACCCTAATTTTAAATGGTAAGAAGTAATGTATGAATTCCTTCTTTATGTAATTTTCTCTATCCTCCTTGTAATTCCTTTCTTAGGTACAAATATTTTCCTCAACACACTATTCTCAAATTAGCTTCAAATGATATTACTACCTTCATACACCAACAGACAAAGTGTGAGGCATACACATAAAACAACACAAAAAATCATTATTTTGTATATTTTGATACCTAGTTTTTCAGATGGAAGAAAGTCAGAAGATACTGGACCGAATAATAGCAAGAGTTTCCCAAATTTAACCTGTTCATACCTGAATGTTATGTTTATGTTATGACCTCCAAATACTTGAACTCCAGCACATTTTCGAAGGTTTTCTTGGTGACCATTTTATGATTATGTCCTGCATTCTAGCAATAAGATAAACACACTCGTATATTCGGTTTTCTCCAAATTTATTTTTAAATTAAACACAAATATAACGGACTTAACATCCTAAAGCTCACCTTCTAGGTTTAGCTGTTTTAGGATCACCTGGTACTTTTGGTTCACGCTTCCTTTTTGGTTCTTTCGGTGCTTTTGGTTCCTTAGGAGGCTTTGGTTCTCTTGGTGGCTTAGGTTCTTTTGGCAGCTTGGGTTCTTTCGGTGGTTTGGGTTCTTTGGGCTTTTTGGGTTCCCTAGGTTTCCTAAGGGAAAAACACATTAATGCCATACATAAAGTAATTTAGTTTTTATGGGACATCTTAATTAGAAAACCAGTATGTACTGTTGTTCACTGCATTTCCATTTTATATCAGGCCTGGCCAAAGTCCAAATTCAGGAACCTTATTCAGCTGACAAAACACCACACATGCATAAGTAACATGTCACTTGCTCATCTCTCACAGATTTCAAATTATCCTTCGACATATAACACATCCAATCAGCAACACACATTATAACTTTGTAACTTGCAAGCATTTTTAAATCAAACAACACAGCCTCACATACCCTATGTGATTGAGCCTACAGCTCACTTAAGATCATCATCTGGGACACAAACCAACTGACTACCAAGACACCCTTTTAAGACATTACGCTTAATTTGAAGTGCAGTATTGTGGACAGATTGAAACAGATGGGGATGCACAATAAATAGTGCACAGATTGGTCAAGGCCTGGCCCTTACTTATTCATTGAAATCAGACAATGAGAACCACAGTTCACAATAACATATAAAAGATTTGCACATAATTTCATGCCAAGGTGTTTCCCAGTCAGGATACATGATTAGTTTCAAACCTGATAAAGGTTTCTGTTCTAACTGCCACTGCATTATGTAAAAAAACACTGTTACTAGAGTACATTTTTCACAAATTGTTATAAGAACTTGCAAACAGATCAATAAAAGTACTGTCAAGTACTGTACACAAGAATTACCATGTTTTAGGTAGATGTACACCAACTATCATTTCTATGTACTTGTGGATGTTTATGGCTGTTTGAATGTGTTCTTAGTGCTTATACCATGCCATGGACACATGTGAAGTGGAAGAGGTATGACTATACAAGTTCTTAACCTCAGCACCACATAGAAATCAGTGATCAACTCCTGGGGACAGACTCCAGTACCATTTGGACAGAAGGTTGGAGGGTTATACAGTCAGTCAGCATGGTGAACAGAAAAGATTACTCCTGGCAACCAATCCCAGTTTCCACCACAGAGTCAGTTGCTTTACTGACTGTTATCCTGTTGCACAAACAGTGCTACACTACATAAAGCAACCACAGATATGATCAATCTCATCTTTGCTCTGTAAGAGTAATGCATTAATTTATGTACTATTATGAATAGAGGAGGAATGTTTAATTCTGATGACAAAACAAAAACAAATATGTCTGAAAAATACACACTACAGCTTAAAGCATGTTTGGACCTCGGTATTTCCATATATTCACAAAAGTTTGACTTTGTTGGTAGTACAGACAGGTGAAGGCAAATAAAAACAGTATTTGCAAGGGGTTTAAAAGCCCGACAATGTTAAGTGTTAAAGTGGTTGATATAAGAGATGTGAGATTTTCATGGCAATGTCATATACCAGGCCAACCAAGTTTCAGAATGTGTCTTCTGCATGATAAGAAGTGGATTTATATTACCATCATATATTCCTCTGGAATGCAAAGTGTGCAGTGTGAAGAGCAAGGACGATCTAAATATAACAGAACTTACCGTGGAGACTTGGGTTTCTTCGGTTTCAGTTCTAAGGGTTGATGAAACTCTTCCATACATTCACCAATGTTCATATCAGGCATAACAGAAGAATCCACCAACAAAGGATTTATTTCAATTGCTTTTTTCCTTCCCTTCTTTCCTCTGGAAGAGCTTTTGCCCTTTCCTTTTCCTGTTGTACTGGTGACCTACAGGAACAATAGTGAAGGTGAGAGCAAAACCTCATCAGGTATTTTCACCTGCAGTGCTTTCAACATTCAAGGAGAAGCCATGGCTGAGGGTAGATACTAATTTGATTACTCTATCCATGAAGTGTTTTAAAATGTGAATCAACTTTGACAATTTGAAGAAGGGTTATCATCTAAGGTCAAACTCTGTACTGTGTTGATCAAATTCTGCATAATCAATATGTAAAGTTTATTAAAATCAGCATGGTGCAAATTATTTACTTGAAAACAGCAAGCTACCCTTCCCACATAGCCTCAGTTTTCATTCTCTAATCAAACAACCACAACCTCACCCTCCTGGCACTGCTGTGATCCCAAGATCTCTGAAGGTCGATCTGACCTACTTTCAAAACAACCTTGCTTTCAATCCCATTTCCTGAAAACCTCAAAATCAAATGTCAATCAAAAATCACTGGAGCCCAACAACTGAAGGAAAGAGGTGACCAAGCTCGAGTGGCAGTTGCAGAGAATGGGATATGTGTACACAGGTAATAGAAGAGTTCAGTATACCTTGAAAGACCTCCTAGGCAGTGTTTTATAACAGGTTTTCCATATTTTTGTACAAAAAAGAAAGAAAGAAAACTGTTTCATCCTTCACATTTACTCTATTTTTCAGCCATTCACAAACAGAAATCACCTCCTCCCACCCAAAGTTATAATGAGAACGGAACAGACATGTCTTTGCCTGTCAGATATAAAACACAACATTGCAACCTCTCAGATATCATTACAAACTGCATCAGACTCTTGTAAACTATTTATGTGGTATTAAAATACTTTTCCACCAATGTCTGTATTCATTTGGAACATTTATATATTGACCACCTGTCATTATAACTGTTACAGTAGAAAACAGTAAAACTGTATTTCTCCTGTCAAGCTTTACATAAGAAAACAGTGCATAACTAAGTAACTTTATAAGCAGAATGCTTGAAAAGCTGAAAGTCACTGAGATGGTTAAACCTTGGACCTGATGGTCCATTACTATGCTCACAAGACTGCCTCTGGACTCTACATGAAGTGAGTATGTTGTCACCATAACACAGCACATCCTCAAGCTATGAACAGAGGAATCGGCCACTAGTTATAGAGCATGATGCACATACACTGAAACAGTATAATCATCAGCTGACAACAGGCAATTCTCCAGCCTGAGAGTCAGACAAGCAGTTAACCTCTCACCACAAAAAATGTTATATGACATAAACACTGTCCCAGGTGCAACAGTTTATTGTAGTTTATTGTCTTGCCCTCTTCTACACTACATGTTTCAGCCGCAAACAGCCATCATCAGGTGTATACACTTACTTAGCTGTTACACTGCACTTAGTTTAAAATTTAAAACCACGAGTGTAGGTAACAAAGATAATGCACAAATCAGACAGATATCAGTGAAGTAGAGTCTAATAAATCGAAACCTGTTAGTAATGACGAAAAGAACAATTGGGAAGACTCTTGGTTTTAAATTTTATACTAAGTGCAGTGTAACAACAGCTACGTAAGTGTATACACCTGATGATGGCCGTTTGCGGCCAAAACATGTAGTGTAGAAGAGGGCAAGACAAAAGAACTACAATAAATTGTTGCACTTGGGACGGTGTTTATGTTATATATCGTATAGAGTGCAACAGGCTGCTTAAATATAATATTGTAATCTAGCATGTTTTTAAATGTTACAAAGAACTCAGACTCTGATGGATTCCTTAGCTCACAGTATAAAAGGTAATTTAAATAAAATGATCTGGCTATGTTGGGATATGGTGATCTTAAGTAATATGGTAAAATCATAGAAGTTCATATTCTGTGTTCAAAATGTCCTTCTTACATACTGCAAAATCATATATACTGTAAACCCTCATTATAATGGATGAATGGGGGGAGGGGGAGTGTGTTATTGCCAATGTCTGCAATAACTGAGTGAAGGGGTATTCATGGAAGTACATCACAGTATACATAATCAATACATGCCAAAAACACAGAAATGTACAATGTGATTATGTAAAGGTTTTCATACTGAGGTAAGGTAAAGGTAAAGCTATCCATGTAACAGGCCACAGGCGCCCATAGGGTTGTGAGATGTCGAGGATCCCACGCTTCCTAGACAATTGGTTCACAGGTTGCAGAGAGGCTGTCAGTTTTATGCATCGGCTACCCTTCACCCCCAGGAAAATTCCTGGTACTCATTTCTGTTAGAGGCTGCATCAACCCTAGGGCAAAAGTGCAGCTGGAAGGATGAGGTCAACTGAAAAATCCATTGATCTCATAGGGGATCAAAACCTGCAGCCTTCTGGATTGTAGCATAGTGCCTCAACCAGCTATGCTACTGCATGCCTCCTTTCGTATAGGAGTCCTTTTTATTTTAAATAGTTCTGTAACTACAAAACCTTATGCGTGTCTCAACATCTCTATAATTTCACAATTGTACAGGGAGATACCGAAGTTGCGCATATCACACTAAGCAATTATATTTTGCTGGTTTAATGCACAAACTACATGACATACAGCACTTACTATTAATGTTTATAACCTTACATCTTAGAAATTCAAAATCAAATCATATCTTTACAACATATGCTCAAAATGGCTTCCCTGTTCAGCAATGCATGTGTGAGCTCTTTTTACCATGTTTGAAGACACTTTGTGGAGCACCTGTAAACTGATGCTGTTAACTGCCATTGTAATGTTCCTCTTGACGTCATTCAGTGTATGCGGATTGTTTTTATAGAGAATTCCTTTGAGGTACCCCCGAAGGAAAAAATCTGCGGGTGACAAATCGGGCAAACACAGGTGCCACGATCCTTTCAAAATGAGACGGTCACCGAAAAACTCGCGCAAGAACTGCATGGTTTCATTAGATGTGTTACATGTGGCACCGTCTTGCTGCAACCAACACTCACGTTCATCAACTTCAAGAAGCACAATAAACTGTGTAATGATGTCTTGGTACACTGGACTGTTTACTGTTGTTTCAAAGTAAATTGGGCCCACTATTCCACAACTTGATACAGCACACCACACTCCAATTTTCTGACAGTGAAAGGGCTTGTCATGTAACACATGTGAATTTTCCGATGATCAAATATCACTGTTTTGTCTGTTCACGTAGCCACTAAGGTGAAACCACGCTTTGTCAGTGAAGAAAACCCGATCAAACTCTTCAATTCCATGGTTGCCAACAAATGTCTGAAACCATCTACAGTACATTAAGCGTTTTATTTTATCCAGGTCCTTCAGTTCCTGCACACAGCAAACACGATATGCACAAAGTTGTAACTTCGTTTTCAGAGTGCTTCCATACAAAATCCCTTATTGCGCTGATAGTATCCTCAGGCTTTTTGAAGGGGAACACTGCAACATTTTCTCCACATCAGCCAGTTTAGCCTCAGTCAAAATGGCCAGTCTCCCGGATCTCTTCCTATCTCAAACTGATTCACATTCCTGAAATCGGTCGATTATTCTCATTATCATCAAATTGTTAGGAACTGCAGAATCCAGATATTCCCGACGAAACTCTTCTGCGACACGTGCATAAGAACGACTGTCAAAATAATGTTCCACAATGAAAACTCGTTGTTCTTGGGAAAATGACATGTCTGTCACACAATAAACAAAGCTATACTGCAGGCGTTGCATGACCGATACATGACAGATGGTGTTTCTATTTGTTAGTACTCCTACAGTTACATCTAGCGGTAGGAGATACAATTATATTAACTGCAATACAATTTATAACAACTTTTAGTTTGATGTGTGCCACTTTTCGATCTCCCTGTACATGGCCAGATTTTGTCTGTTGTATCCAAAATCCATTATATGTGGGTCCATTAAAATGAGGGTTTACTGTATATGCAGAGACCCATTATGGTCACCAGTTTCAAGAGTCAGGTCTCACACTCTGCTAAATGAGCCAATATCTTTGATTCAACTGAAATGGCAAATGTATGCAACTGGGCACAAAAATATTTGTGATGCAACACTGAAAGTTAGGTTGTTTCAATATTAATTTACCTGTGATGTATGATCTAGAAAAGGTGACACGAACATGCTGTCCTGGAGCATACAGTGTGGTCCTCCAGAACACTGCTCTGTGGCCATGTGCTGCTGAACAATTGCAATCCGATCCTGTAGTCTCACGATCTGAAAATACAGCATATAATTGTCCATGCAGGATTCATACCACATTCAGGTCATAAAAAGTTTCTTGAGCAAACTACACAAGCCACTGATCATAAACCATTAGCTCATAAATATAAATAAAAAATAAAGTGGGGAGGAAGCACAGGTTAACTTCAATACATCTGATGATGCTCTTCTGTGCTCATATTCCCTTATTTCTGCCTTCTTTGGGTTCATTACAATTATCATTATTATAAAATTACTGTTATATAACTAAAAGCAACAGTTATTCTTGAGAAAACTGACACTTGGGCCACATGAATCCAATCAACACCCTCCTAACCTACTTCTTTTACATCCATTTTACTGCTAGCCCCTAAACAATATTTGTACCACCCAAGTGATCCTGCACATTTAGGCATTCCCACTAAAATTTTTCTTCCATTTCTAACTGCCTCAATTCATGCTACATATCCCAATTACCTCAACCTCCTTGCCACCCCAATACTGCAGACAACAGTTATCTGACTGTACAAGGTTGCCATACAGAACAGTCAAGATAACAGCTCTGTCATGTGTCTAGAAATATTATTTCAAGATTAAAAATTGTTCAGAACATGTTACAAAACACCAGTATATGCAGCTCTGATTTCTCTGTAAAGTTCACTCTGCTATGCATCCAAATGATTACTAGTTTGATGGCACTAACCTCCACATAAATTGGACGCCCTAAAGTTATCTTAACCAAGCTACCGAAAACTATATTACAAATACAGATCACTCATCCTGTGTGCTGTTGCTTTGACTCTACATAACCTGACAGTACTATCAGAGCCATGCCCTCTCTTAAAGTGCGCAACATGAACATATGTGATATGCAAATCCATTGTAAGACAACGCCCACAACACACACACATGACCAACAATACAGTAGCAGGATTTTCTTTGTGTCTGTGCTGCTTGCACATGTGCAGTGTCATACAACAGTGCTTAGAAAGCACGTGACAGGTTTCCTGTAGGTCCAGCCAGAATGCCACTGGCCTGGCTGGATAACGATAACGTGATGTTTTTTCTGGAGGTCAACGTCCGTGTTGTGCCCATATAAGTGAGCAGAATTCATAAGCTTAGTAAGAGGCCAGAGTATAGCAGTAATCTGGAGGAGTTCAGCAAGCAAGCAAGCAAGCAAGCAAGCAAGCAAGCAAGCAGTAACCTTGGGAGTACAGAAGAGTACAAGAACTCAGCTTGTAAAGACTTAACATGTGATTTGAAGACTTTGTGTGTGCAGCAGTACAGTGATATTGGGAATGTGTGATTGAGACTTTTATAATTCCTGTGTTATAAATCCGTTGACAGGAAGCAGATAGCGACATTTATTCATCAGTAATCTGTCAGACGACAACCAGTGGAAACAGACTGTGAAGATTGGTGTGGAGTGATAATAAATCGTGCAAATCAGCAACAGTGTAACAATTATTTATAGTTATGACCTGTAGGTGGTTAAAAAATCGAATTACCAATCCGTACCCCATCTTTAGTCACTGATACATGTGATAATGGGAAAGGTGTCATGTCTTTGTTTCACATTATAAATTACATCACCAGTTTCCCAACATTTTACATTCAGGATCTAAGCAAATATTTCAATTTAGTTGTGATCCCAACTGGTCAAACATATACAGGGGCTAGATAAAATAATGGAAAAAATACATGTACTGTACACATTTCTTTATTCATATGATGTTGGACCAACTTTTGCCTTCAATACGGTCACAATCCTTCTTGAAATGGACTTGTATGTGTATTAAACAGTCTCTAGCACAATTTTATACCATTCTTCTTGAAGAACATCTTCAAATTGCTTTCTTGGAGACAGGAATCTGTCCCTCACTCTAGTCTCCAAAACTGACCAGAGTGCTTCAATGATGTTCAAATTTGCTGATTGTGCTGGCCAGGGAAGATGCTGAAATTCACCTTCATTATCTTCAAACCATGACTGAACAGTGCCGGCTGTGAAAATGGAAGCACTGTCATCTTGGAAAATACATCTGGATCATGGGATGCACCTGATTACCCAACCTGTTAAAAGTACTCCCTTGCAGTAATTCGGCCATTATAGGTAATGTGACCAACAGAATACAATATTGCTGCCCAAACCATCACAGAACCTTTCATGTGTTTCACTGCTGGAATAAGGTATTCTGGACTGTAGGCTTCCTTGGGAGTTCTTCAAATGCGAACTCTTCCTGATATAGGGAAGAGCGTGTCACGTGTCCAATGTGTGATATCGAGGTTTCATGGTTATGAAACCATCATTTACACATCTAACTATTATTTTCAGTATTCATTTAGCAACTGCAGTCCTACCCTGGATGTTGGGTTTCTGAAGCTCACGTCAGCTAGCCTTTGTGGAAACTGGATCTTCAAAATGAATATTCAGTTCTGCTGTCACCTGTGCTGCAGTAGTTCTGTGATTTTTCTAAACAACTCTTCTCAAGACATGACAATCTCTTTCTATAAATGTTAATTTTTGCCCACTGTTCCTCTTTGCTGATGCTCTTCCCACAATTCGTGTATGCTGACATTACCTTAGAAACTGCAGCCCTTGGCAAGTAAAGAAAGTAAAGGTATCCCTGTTCAGGCCGTGGAGGCCAATAGGGTTGTGAGATGTTGAGGTTCCCACATTTCTGGACAATCGGCTAATTTATGGCAGCAAGGCTGTCAGCCCTACACGCCAGCTGCTCTTTACCCCCAAGAATATTCCTGATACTCATTTCTGTTAGCAGCTGAGTAGACCTAAGGGCCATTTTGCGGCTGGAAGGATTAGGTCAATTGAAAAAATCCAATAACCTCATGACTTGAACCCGCGGCCTTCTGGCTTGTAGCACACCTTATAATGTGGCAGTTTTTGTCACAGATGTTCCAACTAAATGCACATGAACAATCTGTCCTCTTTCAAAATTAGACAAGTCTATCATTTTCCAGTACTTCCACACAGACTGTCACTCAGCAAAATACGAGTAACTAATGAACTTACACAGGCACTACAGCATGTAAACAAATGAAAGCACATTCAGTGTTGCCAACTGAAGTTCTTTCAATGTAGCCAACACAAACAATTTCAATCCAGTTTCTCAATGTTTGCATTATTTTGTTCACCTCCTGTATATCCCTTATTTTGTATGAAACTAAAATTCCATCAACTTCCTTCTAAAATTGTGAATGAATAAAATGCAGATTTCAGATATGAACATCCTCAACACATTCTCGATAAGGTGCATATGTGGTTAAATGTAATAAAGTATCATGACCAGATATCATTCTGTAATACATTTCTTTTTTAATCTTGTGGAACACCTTTTCACTGAACAGGATGTTCTAACAGTAACGCTCTAGACTTGGATTCAGCAGGTGCTCAGTTTGAATCTCAGCAGGGATACCTACTATCATGAGGTTTTCATGCCTTTCATCAGTTCCCACAGGCAAATGACAGGATAGTACATCAATTAGGCCATGTCTACTTCCTTCTGAATGCTTCACAAATTAATCACCACCTTATCAGCCAATACTCCACAGTCTTGTTACTGACATCATTAAATAGCCTACTAAAAACACATTGAAACTCATTTTCAACACGGTGATTAATAATTTCCCTTCCATTTTTCTCTGTTTAATCTCCTAGTCGGGAAACTAAGGTGTTAATAATGTATGATTTCTAATTTGTTGTATCATGACAGGCATAACCAAAATCACTTCACGAAGAGAAACTACACATTTGACCACCAGTACTTTGTTATTCAAGATTATTAATTTTTTGAAGTGAATCCATAAAATTAAACTTGCGCACAACTTATATAATTTCTATTGCATTATAACAAGACATATATAACCACACTCTCTAGCAATGTATTTGATATATGACACAACAAATATTCAATTTGCTTCATTCCACCAAACACCTCCACATGGAACAATGGAGAAACCACCTAACATTCCACAAAAAATGCAATTATATAAATGTTTTTTGTAGCAGTTCCAACTTCCCACAGGCCATGGGCATTTCCAAACACACTCACACCTGTCATGGCAAACAGTGCCATGCTAAGCTCAGAAGAGCATAACGAATGCTGCATTACTTCATGAACAGCAAAAATATATCCATGCAAAATTTTTACATTCAATTCATACCAGGAATTTTATCTTCTGCATTTCCTTTAAGACAGTGAGTCTCAACTTCCTTCTATCATACACTGCACTAAGCACTGTATGGAAAATCAAACTCAGTAAGCCCACTGCATTCACACACATTTTAGCAGAGAAATTTCCATGAAATAACAGTATTTAAGTATTACTCGTGACTAAACATAAAATTTTGTAATACAAAACTTTATTTGTAACTTCATATTTTGATATCAGCTCTGTCCGTAGCTGGGCATACAATCAACCTGTAATTCAGCTGCACCATGTTGGCTGCAACTTAGCTTGGCAACTGCAGCTGTAGCTTCCAACACTCTTCCACTGAACTGTTTTGGCCATTACATTTTTTAGGAAGATACTGTACTGTTTACATACACCACGAATATAAACTGCATCCCACCACTTGAGATCTAATATACGCCATACACACCACAATGACACCAATGGCTTATTACAAAGAACCTACAGCACTATTTTCTTCACCTTCTGAGTTTCAGAAACTGTCCAAATCTAGCCAGACTTCTGACATGATGCATGCAGACACAGCTTACGACTCTCTGATGGGAGAAGAAACCCATGATGATGATGATGATAATAATGATGATGAAGGCTACGGACCATATTACAGCAAGCGACACCCCTTCTCTTTTCTTTGTGTAGCTAACACCTTACAATTCCCACATGAGAGGCGCAACATTTATACTGATCTTCTGGAGTATGTTTTGAGAATGGAAAGTGGATAGAACTTACACAGATTATGTCTACATCAGGCTTTGGCGATAGTGGAGCTCAACCTTTGAGTTCCGCTACCACAGTATCACAACAGA